GTGTTAACAAATAAATCTATCAATAATTAATTATTTTTTTTTGTTTTTTAGTTTGTTGGTTTCACTTGGTCAACTTTTATTAATGACTCTATAGGGTTCCTTACTTATATATATATACATATGGTTCCCTCTCTCTTGTATTTTTATCAATCAATAAATCCATCAATTAATAATACACACTGATGAGATTTTTCGCAAACACACCACTTGGCAAGTGAACCAAGTTTCGAAGTAGTATTCAAATATCGTCCTCAGGGATTTGAGTGTTTAGTAATTCTTTCTCTAATGATTTAAATGAGAATGTTGTTATGATTGCAACTGAGTGAAAATAGGGTAGAACCACACAATAAACTAAAAGTAGTAAAAATAATAGTTAAGAAACAAGGATTGGTTCAGAAGCACTTGCTAACTCATAGATCTTCTTAAAATACATGCGATTCTAATTCCATTATTTTCACGTTCATTAAGTAATCCAACAAGATTCCTCAAGGTTGAATCCTAAAGTCATTAAGCTCAAAACATGATTCCTCTATGTTTTGAGTTTAACACTTTGCATTAAGAACAATGACTTGAACAATGTGACTAATCAAATCAAGTCTATTCCTAGAACAAGAAATGATTAGGTGCAAGATTCAGTTCGGGTTTTCAAAAACGTTTTCCTACTGGATTCAAAAACCAAAAATCATACAACGGGTAATCAAGCCGATATAAGCATTAAGAGAAGAATCAATGCACAAATAATGAGATCAAAATGCATATATTTAAGAAGAAGAGGAGTTAGTAGTTACATCCAACCAATCCTTAAGGAGTTTAGCCACACATGGCCATTACAAGATCTAAGAAGTAAAAGAAGAGATTACAAAGTTGGAGATGAAAACAAGGGGTTGGGCTTCGTTCCCAAATGACCCAGCTGCCCAAGTAGTAGTTCCTCCTCTGGTTCTCTCTGCAAGTCCTCCTTACTCTGTTCTTTCTCCTCTGTTTGTTATGCCCCCTTTCTTCAGATTTTTGCCCTTTTATATGAGCTTTAAAATAGGGGCAAAGAGTGATTTTTACTCCCACGGCTGCAGCTGTAGATCCACGGCTATAGCTGTGGAGAGTCCTTCAGGGTGAAGAAACCTCCAAAGCTGCAGCTGTGGTTTCACAGCTATAGCTGTGGCAACTCCTTCAAGCTTAAGGAACCTCCAGCGCTGCAGCTGTGAAGCCACAGCTATGGCTGTGGATCTCTGGAGTTTTTGCTGGGTCCTGGGTGCTCCATGGTTTTAGCTTTGAGTTCACAGCTTTAGCTTCAACTTTCTGGAGCTTCAAATTGTATTTCAGATTTCCACAGCTCGAGCTCCAGATCCACAGCTATGGCTGTGGATCTCTGGAGTTTTTGCTGGGTCCTGGGTACTCCATGGTTTTAGCTTTGAGTTCACAGCTTTAGCTTCAACTTTCTGGAGCTTCAAATTGTATTTCAGATTTCCACAGCTCGAGCTCCAGATCCACAGCTATGGCTGTGGATCTCTGTCTTCCTAAAAAACCTGCAAAAAATGAGGAAATTTCTTAAGATTTTGCTACTACTCCTCTACTCTTTTAGTATAACTTGATTCTTTAAATAAAGGGGGGTAAAATAACATATATAATATCTACAATTACCAAAAAGAGTACCAAAAGTTGAGTGCAAATCATGCATAAAAGACACTCAACACATACTTGTTTTTCTTTCTCTACATACTCCGATAACGTGGTATCAAATTAATATTGTGTTTTTGCAATTCTTTAGCTCCATTCTTTCTTGCTTACCATGGTTGATTCATCTCCTACGATTGATGTTGAAGTACACCAATAAGGATCAAATGCTGCAGCAGCAACCAATACCAATCTTGATATCTCACAAATTTCAACAAGCCCCTATTATCTACATCCCGATGAAAACCTAGGAGCTGTTCTTGTGTCACCATCGCTCAACGGTGACAATTTTCATTCTTGGAGTCACATAATGTGATGAACTCTACTAACAAAAAATAAGCAAAAGTTCATTAATGGCACCACCACTATTCCTACTAAAGCTAATGCTCTCTTTGATGCTTGGGGGCATCGCAACACTATTATTATATCATGGATAAATAGAAGCCTTAATTCTCATATTGTATGAAGTACTATATACATCGACAATGCCAGTGCTTTGTGGCTAGATTTGCAAGATCATTTTTATAGGGGTAATCATTTTAGAATCTCATACATCCTTCAAGAGATGCACTCCATGCGCCAAGGTGATAATGAATATGTAATCTATTTCTTGAAAGGCCTAAATGACCATTTCAACACTGTCAAAACCCAAATTCTTCTTCTTGACCCTCTTCCCTCAATAAATTGAGTCTTTGCCATAGTCACCCAACAAGAAAGAAAAATCCTTGATTTTGATATTGGTGACACCACACCCCTTTACGCACCAATAATAGTTTTTGGACCCATGTTCCTCACTCTAATATTCCTAAGGTAAAGGCACCTTTAGCAATTAGTATGGCATAAGGCATGACAAAAATTCAGGCAAGCAATGCACTTTTTGTGGTCGCCCCTATCATATTGTTGATACATGTTATTATAAACATGATTTCTACCTGATTATAGAAATAGAAATTTTACATCCAATGTCGATGTAGTACCGACCCAAGCAACTATGATACTCCTATGAAAGAATTCTCCAAGTTAGGATCTTCACTACAATTGACCCTGAAGACTATAAGCATCTCATTGCCTTGGTTTTGAAATTCAAGGATGAGGCATCCACTTCCTACAAAATGGATAATTGTGACAAAAATGATGCCCCAACACAACACATAATTTCACATGTTACTCAATCAAGTAGCCAATTTTTTTATCCCATCCAATGGATTCTTGTATTTTTATCAATCAATTAATAATACAAACTTGTTTTTCTTTCTTTGCATACTCTGATAATAAGAGTCATGATAAACTATGTAGAAGAAAAAAAATACACATATTTTGTATGTTTTAGCTTGATAAGATTTTAAGGTTGAGTCTTTATATTAACTTAACAGAAGTTAATTCTATACAAGAAAAAATATACACATATTTTGTATGTTTTGGCTTGATAAAATTTAAAGGTTGAGTCTTTTTATTAACTTAACAAAAGTTAATTTTATAAATTGTATCATAAAACTTACAAAAATAAGTTAAAACACTTTCACAATCACTTATATCGTGAAGAAGTCTCCCTATATATAATACATTCTTTCAAATGAGACACATATGTTATTTTTAAATATTAAAATAAATATTGACTTAATTATTTTTTATCAAGTATTGCAATTGTATAATTTTGATATTTAAATTTTTAATTAAATAATTTGTCTACCAAATATTATTGTTATACAATTTTAATCTATCAATTATCGTAATTATATGATTTTAGTTCTTTTCATTAAAATAGACCAAAAATACATTTGAGCCTTAATATTTAATTATCAAAATTATGTATTAAATAATATTAATGTGAGTAATTTTATTTTATTTTATTACATTGATGTGAATAATTTAATTTAACATTAAATACAATTATGTCCATTAAATCGAGTAGTTTCTATTTTCTATGCATATGAACTAGGGTAAAATTGCTTCATCCATTCCATTTTATTTGATGTTTTAACATTTCTTTGTCCGTTCCAATTTAATTATAATTTTATGATATCAATAACATTAAATATATTTTTCTTATGATAAAAAAAATATTTTTCTTATCATACTTTGAACTATTATTAATACATTCTTTAATCATCGGTGGGAAATCAAAATGTTTAAGGAAATGAAATCAGCCATCTTAAGTCTTGTACTAAAACCTTACTACAAATAAAATAGATTGGAGAGAATATATTAAATTTTTATTATTGACTTTTATAATAATTTTTCTAAAAAATTCATACAAACCATGATTTTTAATTAGTTAGTGTGTAATTTTTTTTTTACTCAAACATTAAATTTTTTTCTTTTTTATTTTTTGTATTTCTTGCTTTCACATAAAATTTATACGGTAAGATTTTCTTTAGGGTTATTAGAAACAATATTTGCTTAAACGAATCCATTTACACGGGTTGGTAATAAAGTGTAACATTTTAACAAAATGGTCAACGCCTCGCTATATATTCAAATTAAACTGCGTATGTTTTTTATTTTTATTTTTTTTTCATGTAAAAAAGCATGCATTGCAACTAAATGATAAAAAAATATTTTAATTAAAGAAAACTAAAGTTTAACATTGACTGACCAGTTCAGCTAACTAAAAATGAAGTCTGAAGCACCAACGGAATCCTTTTGAATTTTTATTTTTTTTGATTAAATCCTTTTGAATTTTGAGTCCTCGTGATGGGTTTCGTAACTGCCCTTCTCGCGCCTCTGTTTTCAACTCTCGTCACCACCACGCGCCATCAACAAACACATATAAAATAGTAAAAAATAATAATAATAAGGTAAAAATATATTTTTTTTCTTATATTATTTATCAGTATCAATTTAGTCGAACTTTAATTAATTGAATCAATTTAATTTCATATTTTTAAAATATATCTCAAAATTTGATTTTTATTTTTATTATTTAAATACTTAATAAATTTGACATGTGTCATGTCACGTGTCATATTATCACGTCACGTGTCATGATGTCCAACCATGTGACATGATAGCATGACACGTGACATGACACGTGTCAAATCCGTTAAGTATTTAAACAAAAAAATTAAATATTAAAAAATATTTTAAAGTTATGAAACTAAATTAATTTAATTAATTTAAGTGAGACTAATAAATAATATAAAAGACGAAAAATATATTTTTACCTGATAATAATATAAAATTAAGATAAATTTAATGCTGTTAATTACGTTAATTAATTAATTTTCTTAATGACGATGTAAAGGGGAGGGTTAAGTTAAGTTAACGCTGGCGAAAAGGGTAAAAAAAATTGGATTGACTTTTGGAAGTGATAGTGAAGCGCGTAACCGGTGAAGTCATTTTCTTCATTACGTTACGTCTGAGACGCATGCGCAACCCATGCCGTTTGCTCATATAATCGGAGCCACATTCTGTTACGCTCCCATTCTCTCTCGCAACCGTCGTCGCTTCGGTCTCATGGCTTCCGCCGCCGTCGACCACGCCAAGCACGGCTTCTCTCGCCCGGAGATGTACAAGGAGAGCCTCGCCGGCACCGTCGACGCCTACGAACGCCACCTCTTCCTCTGCTACAAGAGCCACCACGCCTGGCCGCCGCGCGTCGAGGCCTCCGACGCCGATCCCCTCCCCAAGCGCTTCGCCGGCGTCTGGAAAGCTCGCAAGAACGACGTCGCCGTCAAGGTTGATTGCTTAATTACTTGATTTGCTTTCTGCGATTGGTTTGAGGTTCGTTCGGAATCCAATTGTTTTGTTTCTCTTTGCTTAATTCGAATTGTGTGTTGTTTCGTGTGGCAGACGAAAATCACGGTGTGCGAGGCGCGTGAGGAGGCCGGTTTCTCCGACGGAGACGTGTTGATTTTCCCTGACATGATCAAATACAGGTATGCTGAACCACTTGTTTTTCTTCTTTTGCATCGGTGATTCGTTCATTTCGCTGTGTTTCTCTTAACTTGTCTGCTAATCAGTGTTTAATTTAAAACGTGGATTCAAAGTGAAAAATAATAGAATTATATAGATATTTTAAAGAACATGTTAAGGATCGTTTGAGTAAAGAGATTATTAAATGAAACATAAATTAGATTGATCTTTTAAAAATATTTAACGTTTCTACGTAAGGAAATTAAAGTTAGAACAAAACTTAGGCTAATTAATTATTTCATGTTATTCTTTAGTCCATAAAGATAGTTCTTTAATCAGAATAAAGTTTTACTTTCATAATTCATCTAATAAAAGTTTACATTAAAAATTTGAATATTTTTGTTCTAAAATAAAATTAGTCACTTAACTTGGTATACATTTTTTTTTATCCACTGTAAATGCTATCTTAAATTGTTTTAATTCAAAATACTCTAAAGTAAAACTAAACATGTATTTAAAATCACATTAGCTATTTTAAGTCTCAACGTAATTTTAGTTGGTCTAATCTTGAACCAAACATGCACAAAGTTTATATTAAAGATCAAAATAATTTCTTAAGGAAGTGCAGGTAAACTTTTTTGTGCTTAAAATTATTGTTTGCATATTGAGGATTAGACTGATGCCAAAACGTGTTTATGTTTAATAGTATTTTTTTTTTTAATTTGATAATGTTTTTTTGTTGTTTGATTGGAAGGGGTTTGGAGGAATCAACTGTTGAGGGCTTTTTTGATGATGTAATAGTGAGTGGTAAAGAGTGGAGTGGTGGAGAGCAGGGCCTGTTGAGGGGTTCGCATATATTTGTTTGTGCTCACGGAAGTCGCGACGTGCGGTGCGGTGTTTGTGGGCCGGTTCTCATGGAGAAGCTCAATGAAGAGATTCAGCTACGGGGATTGAAGGATGAGATATCGGTTGTGGCGTGTTCTCATGTTGGTGGCCATAAGTATGCTGGGAATGTAATCATATTCTGTCCAGGACCAGATGGAAAAATTATCGGTCAATGGTAAGTTCTCACACTTCTATTATCTCGTGTACAATATCTATTAATGTATTTTTTTTTTCAAAAAAGATATTGATAATTAAAAAATTTGGTCGATAAGTTTTTCACCTGTATCTCTATTTAAAAGGTGCTACAATAATAATTTATAATAAGCAACGAGATATTAAATAAATACATTTTAGTTTAAATGCAAAGGTATTTTTCATCTTTTAAATATTTTTTAATGTGTACTTTTTATTAAGATTTGAAAAATTACAAAATAGCTGTAACGAAGATTAAGTTCCTAATATTTCAATCTTTTCTCCTCAACCACTACTCGATAACTCTAGTGGGTAATATGTGTACATTAACCTTAAACATCAATAAATATTCTAATGAGATTTATTTTTTAGAAAAACCTACATAATTATTATAAAATTTTAATCATATTGAAATTAAAAATGTGTTTTTGAAAAAATATAAACAAACGGATGCTTTTGATGTTGCTGGTTTAATTGTAGTACTATTAATTACAGGTATGGCTATGTTACTCCGGATGACGTTCCTGCGTTGTTGGACCGACAAATTGCCAAGGGAGAGGTCATACAAAAACTATGGAGGTTGGCACCTTTGGTTTTATTCTGTATTTTCCATCCTTTAATGAAGTGCTAATTTGAGTGAATAACATATAGCTTGTAAAGACAAAAAGAAAACAATTATAATCTGTTTTCCGGATTCTTTAAATACCCTTCCATTGGTTATTGGACTATGAGAGTATGCACTTATCAAGATTATCAATGTTCATTTGATCACATGGCTGATTTAAGGAGTGTTTGGATGGTTGGAGACAATGCCGTCCTGATTCTAGTATTGTATTTGGATGTATCATAGTATGTGTCCCAATTGTAAAACGGAATCTCCATTTTGTTTGTTCCGTGCGAATTGTACACAAATAATCTTGTGGCTAAATTTGCAGCTAATTAAATTTCTGGTTTTAGCCAACTTATAAATGATTCCTCAGGCAGGTGGAAAATCATAATTAATGCAGTCTTTATTTGCCACGCGCCTGATTCTCATTGGGTCAGAATGCATCCATATAGTTTGTTTTCCTTTATAATGGTTCTGTCTGACGGAATCATATGCGCTTTTACATCTAACTTTACTACTTAGAACAACCAAAGGAAAACAAAATCACTTGGTTGTTAATGTGATTCATTTCATCTTAAGCACTTTCCTTTATAATGGACGATGATTAAACTCGATCATGTGAAATTGTTTCAGGGGTCAAATGGGGCAACCTGTTGCGGAAATTAAGGGAGTAGATGACTATAAACTTGCTAACGGAGATGATAATAGCAAAGCCAATCCGAGCAACAATGAAAATGTGGCAGGATGCTGTCAGGGTGTTAATGGGATTTCTTGCTGCAGAAGTGAAGGGATTGATAAAACCGCTGAGGCATATAAAAAACAGGGGAGCAATACAAGTTGGTATTGGCCTATATTACAGAAACGTGATATTCTTACGGCTGGTGGTATACTAGGAGCTTTGGCAGCTGTTGCTGTAGCTTACAGAGTTTACAAAAGGTCAGGCTGAAATGGGCTTTATTCTTAAATAGAAGATGTAGTGATGAAAACTTCACCCTTTTTATGATTGTGTTGTATTTGTTTCTTTACGTCACTGGTTTTCTAGTAAGTTCAAAGTTTCGGGTTTTTGTTTTTAAATTTTTATTACTATATATATATATATATATATATATTTCCATATTGTGTTCATTAGAAAGAAAAGGCACCCATTGAATCTGAATCAAACACTGGCCATGGGAAGTTTTGTAATATCATGCTGTGTTGGTTGATATAAATTTATGTTCGTCATAATTTTGGACTGCCTTGATTATTTTATGACTGCAGAACTATCTCAGCCACTGCTTATCTATTTGTAATTTGCCTATATCTTTTTATCGTTATAAATTTTTCAGTAAATTTTAGTCTTTAAATTATACTAATTTTTTTAATTTTATTTTAAAACCTATACTCATTCTTTAGTTTTATATTGTTATTTAACTATTATTAGTTAACCAATAGCATATCAGCACTGTGAAATTTTGTCATTTTGCACTAAAATATTTCGTACAAGATAGAAGAAGTGTAATTTTGACTTTCTATTGTGAACTACTGAACTTTGAGAAATTTTTAGTTATCTTTCAAAACCAATAATCTGTTCAAAACATTATGATTCATGTATTTTTCTTACAGAAGAAAACTTGTATTGTTTCGTTAAGAAGAGACAATTCAATTCAAGTAGGAATAAAATGAAAAATAGGGTGACTAACAAATAATCTATGTCATAGCAACTGTCTGAGCAACATGATTAGTTTGTCTCTCCGTAAAACTAACTACATGTTTTGCATGTCTTAAAATACCCCTACGCCTAAGAAAGTTGATTACATTTCATGTATTAAAGTTTGAAAATTGATGATAAAATGTTCAAAATTTGTTACGGGTAACAATAAAAGTTGAAGATAAGAGAAAGTACTCTCGGAATACTTATTCATAGTTGTTCATTATGACTAATAGACTGGTTTATGTTAAAATAAATTAAAGTGTAATATACATTAATTTTAAAATAAATTCAGCATAATTTTAAATATCTTACGAAAATATTTTTTTCTCTAATTTTTTGTTCAGCTTTAATCGCATTACGTTCACCACGGTGGCAATATACTTTGAATTTTGAATTGCCGTAGCTGATTTCCTCCTGGATTTTGTGTCTTTCATGTTTAAGCCTTTTTATCATTGATATTCAATAGTGTTTCAATATTTAGTATAGGTGGATTTACACACTAATAAAAAACTGTTGCTTGCATAAGCCACGGTTGCTTACTGACTAGTGACTAGTATAATTGATTAAAATTCGGCACATTTACGTTAATACTCGCCTCTTTCATTCATTAGGGATTTGAGTTTTGACTGAAGAGTGAGTGAAGAGTGAAGACCCCACATACCAGGGATTTGATGCTTGATATTTGTTAATGCGTTCAGATAAAAATGTTGATTTATTTGTTCGCTTCTTTCAAAGTGGGACAAACAACAATGGATGTAGTATATAACTACACATCACATTTTATCTGATTCAGTTTGAAGTAACAAAATCCCACGGCATTGATTGCTAAGTTTGGTCAGTTGTTAAACTCTAATCGAATTCAAACTTTTTAAGGTTAGTAATTCAGTAAAAGTAATGTTAGAAGCCAAGCAGACCTAGCATTTATCACCAAAATCAAATATGAACCATATACCAGTAGATCCTGAACCATTGTTATGTACACTGCCAAGTTGACAATTCAACATTGGTTTACTAATATTTTCTTAATAATGAGTCCTGAACTAGTAGTCGTTGTCAAAAACATCATCAATGCCTCTAAGTTAGAAAGAAAAAAAAAGTGATGCATGAGGATTTACTCGACAGATTATGCATGGAGCTTTGCAATCATCTCCACCACCAACTTTAAAGTAGTATCCGCCAATTTCTCTCCTTCTTCTTCTTCAATTTCTTCCATTATCCGTTCTATAAGCTCGTGATTAATTTGTTTACATCCTGAGCCATAATTGGAGCAGTCCCTCAGAAGCAACAACAATTTTTGGGCCATGGATTTGGCTCTCCATGTTCCATCCACGCTTAACTGAAGCAATCCTGGCATCACCCCCTCTGTCAAAATCAATCCTCTATATTTCTCTCTGCAGCTCTGGCATATAAGCAGAAGTATACACACTGCATGCTCTTTACTTAGTAGAGACCCATCTTCAATAGTCTCAACCAGTATCCTGATTGCTCCCCCAGTACCAGCAGCCTCACAAAGTGCGCTCTCTGAAGAAGACACAATGTTTTCTAGCAACCCAATTGCTTTCTCAGCCAATGGAGATGATTTCACTGAGCTGTGGATCAGTTCAAGCAAGGAGAGCATAACACCGGAAGAGACAATATGTGGAATAATCTCTTGGCAGGTGGTGAGGTTGTGTAGAGTAGCTATAGCATCAAGCTGAGACTGAGTGCTAGTGCTATCATTGCTGTTGACAAATTCAGCCAAGACTCGAACAGCACCAGATGAAGCAATTGCTACTTTATTTTCCTTGCAAGAAGATAGGGTTAGCATGGCTACTAAGGTCAATTGTATCACTGTCTGCTTATCACAATGGAGGAGACTCAGCAGAACCGGCAAAGCTCCAGTTCTGATGATCCGAATCTTGTTTCTGTTGAAATTTTGGAAAAAGTTTCAGTGCGATTACGTTAACTGCTAAGGAAACTTTTGAAGACATTCGTACAATAGAAGGAATTTATTTGCTTCCCTGTGTTTTATACATTACTTTTTCATAAAGAAATATGATGGTACAATGTATTATTAACCAATGGCAAGCCTTATTTATTACCAAGAACATATTCTTTAGCCACACTGCCAAAAAACCAATCATGGGGTGCTAAAAAGTTGCATACTTTTTAATCACTCCAATAGTGTTGGATTGAATATGTTATATTGCCTCTAATGCTTTTAATGAGAGAAAAAACATTTGTTCTGTTATGAACTTTGAATTCTCATAATGAGGTATTATGGACTACATGCAATCTGGAGAACTAAACTGAGAAGAAAAAGAAGTTTACAATGAATATCATTTGAGAATGAATCATGAACTAACCTATCACTGCCAAAGGAAAGGCTGAGCAAAGCACACAGAGCAGCTTCTATGGCTTCATAGTTTTCAGAATGAAGCATGGAAACCAGAGGAACCATAACAACACTTGCTTCCAACATGTGCCTCTGCTTACGGCTTAATCTACCAAGATTCATTGCTGCTTGAATCTGAGATTCTGTGTCACCGTTCCAAAGGTTTTCTACAATCTCTTTTTCCATTGGAGCTCTCTCTTGCTGGTGTTTCTTCTTTCGCCGTGTCTCAATCTTCTATGTTAGGCAATAGCAATTGTAGCATCGAGATTGGTGGCTTGAAGAGGTAATGTTAAGCTTTTGTGGGTATTCTAATCCGTTGTTTCATCTAGAAGCAACAGACAATTCTTTTGGTCAGCTTTTTGTGTCCTGGGTGTGTGTTGGGTGCTAATATAAAAACAATATTGATTCCTAAGAATGAATCTTTAACTTTCCTTATATGGAAGCAAACGCCGTCAGCTTTTGATAGGTTAAATATTTTTTGCAAATTTTCTTGTGATTCTACTTTAATGGTAGGTTTGCTAGTAGTAGGACTCTAGGAGTCTCGAAAGAATATTATCTTAATCACTCTTATGAATCACATTGGCAACGATTGTCATTCTTTTCTTTAATAATAATCACACCAAACCACTTTTGATACTAGAGTCTAAAGAAAGTGTTCTTACCGAAACTTAGAAGTCTAATGATCTCCTTCTTGCCATGCCATGTAACCAAGGTAGAGTACCTATAAAGAAACTCCGAGACTCAAACGAACAGCAATATCAAGCGGATAATGAAAATTAAAGTTTTGTATTATATAGGTGTTTTATTGATAATCATAATAATATCATCATATTTTTTTTACAGATACCTTATTTAATAAGATGACTAATTCAAAAAATCAATAAAGAGTTACCATATATATATATATATATATATATAAGAGCATGTAATTCAAAAAGGAATTAATAGATAATATATAAGAAGAGATTTTTTCCCACAATCCTCCATTTTCAAGATTTTGCGGTATTATCGAGGATAAAATATTGATAACATGTTTACTCATAATATTAGATTTGTAATGATATCATTAAGGTGGATATTGCTAGATTGTTTTTAGGACAACTAATAATGCCTGAAAAAACAAAATAAGCATCAGCAAAATTAAAGTAGAAAGGGAAAAATTAAAGGGATAATGTTAAGCTAACTAATATATTTTAGATTCTACTAGCTATATTGGAGCTTGTCGTGTGGTCGTGGCTTAATTCAGCGAATGCTTTACACAAGGCAATCTTGTGAGTTGTGAGCATTGAGAAATGGCATCAGGAACTACATTCGTTCAAACAAGTAATTTCTTGGTGATTGATTTCTTTACTAAATTGAAAATTTATGGGAGGAATTTGGATAATCACATACCACAGTGCCAATGCACTTGTACAGTTGGATTTACATGTGAGGCTATGAGGGATTTCATGTAACAGGGGGAGAGATTAATTAAATGAACAACTTTTAGTGGTCACGTGTCAAGGTGCTCTTAAGTCTTAATGGAAGGAATTGTTATAGGTCTATAAATATCATTCGCATATAATTAAGTAAAATATGAAACAGTAAATCCTAATTATCTTATAATTAGGGTAATTAAGAAAGTCTAAATCACTATCGTATTACAAAAACAATTTGAATGGTTACATGAGCCAAATGCGAGAATTTTGATTGTTTATTCTGTCTTTATGTTTTCTTATCCAATAATAATTCAATTCCCTCCATCAGATATAACCCTACACTCTATATTGATTCATGTTTCACAAAGCTAGCACCACCACTCTGTAAACTACAACACCCATTTTCTCGTGATTTCTTGGTTTGATCTTGCAAGTATTGCAAAAAGAAAAGGTCCGTAACCTCTTTGTTGTTACTTGTGGAAACAATTTTTTGAGTGAGTTTACGACTATGTTTGGAGTGTTTGAACTTATTGTTTTGAGTCTTAAAATAAAACACACACACACCTCCTATAAGAAAGGGATCTAACAAGGTTAGAGTTTGAAAGGCTAGGGCTAGAAAATGAAGCCATAAATATAGAGAAAGAAAATAATCTCATGAAGGAGAAAAGGACGGGTATAAAAATGCCTCATAAAACTAGGATTTGGAGAACACATTGAATAAAGAACTTTTAGAAAATTGAAAATGAATAAATTCAATGTAAACTTGAAAATACTTTCCTCAAGGTGTTTGTTGGATTTTTCAATCCATAGAATGGGAGTTTGAAAATTCATGAAGAATGAATGTAAATATGAGCACGCTATTGAAATCATAAAATTTATACAAGATTTTTTAAATTGATCTTTCAATGAATAAATTTAGATAATATTTTATAGATTGATTCTTAGTATAATAATCAAGAAAATCTAGCCAAAAACTTCAAAAGTTGCAAAGATATAACATTATAAATTGGTTATACTAAGAACCAATCTTAAAGTATTTTCAAGATCAATTATTTAAAGAATCAATCTAGAAAATCTTTTTAGAAATTTAAAATTTTCAAAGGATATCCACATTTTTTTTTGGTTGATGAAAAACTTAATACTTAATTTCTACAACCAATCTTAATATAATCAATTTAAAAAGTGTTTTCTAGATCGATTTAATAGCGATTAATTTATTATGGGAGATGAGAGGGTTAAAATATAACCCTTAGATTAATTTCCTCTCACTTGATTAAACTCCAAATTTTTTCACTTGGTTAATCTAATGATTATATTTTAACACTCTCATCTCTCATAATAATTTTTCTTTCACTTAATAATCTGTCATTGTCTTTTATAAACCGATGTAATATTGAAAGATTGGCATACCTTTATAGAGATTTTTTAAGGAGCTCTACATGTACGAGAAGGACAAAAGGGCAGAAGTTCAAATCTTTTTAAGGATCTAATGTTAGTTTTCTTATTTTCTTTATCTTTTGTTTTCTTTTGTTCTATGTCTAGCTATATCTCTCATTGTCGGGGTTGAATGATTCTTTATAGATAGGATAGTACTCCCTCCGATTTTTATTCATAGTCTTTTTGTCATAATTTATCATTTTTTTCATTGTTATTTTACTAAAATCAATAACTTATTAATTTTTTTTTTCATTTTTATCCTTAATAATTAATGTATGTTTATTGAACAATGTGTCTATTTATTTCTAATGTCTACCTATTTTTTCTCCAACAACGTATGTGAAGTTAATGTTGCATTTAAAAGGATAATATGTTTTCAACGAAATATTATAAAAAAATAGAGGGTAGAATAAGAAAGTAAGTAATAAATATTTTTTAAAATTAAAATATCAATCATTTCCTTAAATTTCGTGCAAAAACCTTAAACGACTATGAATTAAAAACGGAGAATTAAAAACGGAGGGATGGTTTTTTGGGTGGTTAATAAAATTTGGATTTTTTACTTGTGTTTGTATTTCCTACTCTCTTCCATATGTATTAACCACTGGAATAAGTTATCGTGTAATGCACGAGTTATGTAATATATTAAATTATTGGATGAATTACAGTTTTAGTGTATATATTTACGCGATTTGTAATTTAATTTTTTATTTTAAAATAAAGATATTTAATTTTTTATTTTAAAAAATATAAAAATTTGGTCTTATCGATAGGTTGATGTTCATTTTTATGTTATTTAGGGAAGTGTATTGATTTAAGATTTTATAGGATTTTAAAAGACTTTTTTTAAGTAAAAAAGTTTGTTGGTATTTAATAAAGATTTTATGCCACTTAAAAATAATTCAGTGGTATTTAATCTAGGTTTTCAAGATTTTTTAAAGAGTCCATTAAAATCAATCGGTATTCATTTGAGACTTTTTACAACTTAAAAATAATTCATTAGTATTAAAAAATATAATGATTTTAAAGGATTATTATATTAGATGGGTTTTGAAGGACTTTTTAGTAATATTTATAAATACTAAATTCATAAAACAATTACATCCAAATCCACTAGAATTTGAAGAATTGTTTGAAGTGACTTTTTAAGTATTTCAAGAATTTTCAAGTAAATTTTTTATTTTTTTTTCTTTCTATGCTCTTGTCTTCTCCATTTTTTTTTCTTCTATTAATAATACTGCATTACTGCTTTTAGTAATTTGTCACTACTTGTTAATATTTAATGACATGACATGTGAAAAAAATAATAACATGTAAAAGATATTTATTTGTATTTATTTTAAAAATTGATCAATATTTATTTTATTAATAAATTTTATTTGCATAATTTTTTATCTCTAAATATCATGTTATTAAATGTCAAATAAATTAAATATAAATAAATATTAAAATTTAATGATTAATAGGTATTAATTTGATGAGAGAACAAAATTTTGTATTTTTAAAATTTAGAGGAATAAAAATTGTGAATTAATGAAAACAAATAGATCAAAGGTACACTTTAATCTGAGTTAATTATTAAATTTAAAATTAATCAAACTACGTTTATTGTGTAAGTATATATAAATAAATATGCATATAGATATTTGAAAAAATATTTCAACTTAATTATGAAAATATTAAAATAATTTTATATTCACATATATCTTATGTTACTTGAATTTATATAAATGTTTGTTTTTTAAAAAGTATTATCTTTATAATATATAGCAGATTATAGATTTGTATATA